CCTCGATCATGTGCTCCACATGTTAGAATAGATGTCGGTTATCTATTGTAAACGAGTTGTACTCGTGTTCAGGATAGAAGTCACGGTTGGTTAAAATTGGAAATAGACTTGGTTAGAGATATATTCTAGAAATAGGGAGTTTGTAACTGAATCCAAGTCTATCGCTAGGAACGTAAAACGCACGGCAATCCCCTGCGTAGTCCTGGCGCCATGTACCTGTGCTTTGCTATATATAACAGGCAACCGTGGTGAGCCAAGATAGGTAGCCACGTTCTCATCCAGTTTTACATGGTAATCAGAGCCTCTCTTCCACAAAACATCCAATCGCCGACTTCCTAGAAGATCGACGAGAGCCCTGTCGCGACCAGGGACAGAAGCACACGTCCTGAACCTGTTTCGACCAGGGCCGCGACGCAACGACGCTCATGGCTTCGTCAAGCATGACGACGTCCTCGTCTCTCGGTACTGTCTCCGAGAAGCTGACGAGGGATAACTATCTCCTTTGGAAGGCGCAGTTTCTTCCCAGCGTTAGAGGAGCAGAGCTCATGGGGTTCCTAGACGGAACCACCACCAAGCCGTCCAAGACCCTGGAGGTCGAAAAAGAAGGCGGCAAGAAGGAGGTGATCCACAACTCGGAGTATAGCTCCTGGATGGCGAAAGATCAGCAGGTTCTGAGCTACCTGCTGAATTCCCTCTCCAAAGAAGCGCTCGCACCGGTGGCTACGGCGACCACGGCGGCAGAAGCATGGGGAACACTGGAGAGGATGTTCGCTGCACACTCCAAGGCACGGATCACGAATCTGCGCGTTCTTTTATCTACAACAAAAAAGGGGAACATGTCTACATCCACATATTTTACCAAGATGTGCTCGTTTAGAGATGAACTTGCTGCTGTTGGAAAAATCGTTGATGAAGACGAGATGGTTCACTTCGTTCTCAACGGCCTCGACTACGAGTACAACTCCTTCGTCACCTCCATGATGGGTCGTGTGGGATCTCTATCCTTGAGCGACCTCTACTCTCAGCTCCTGACTTTTGATCAAAGGATGGCGATGTATCAAGAGGGCGGCCAAATTCAGTCTTCTGCTAATGTGGCAAGTAGAGGACGTGGCCGCAACAATTATGGACGCGGGCGTGGTGGCAACCGCGGACGTGGTCGTGGCAACAATGAACAGGGAGGTCGTACCAACTTCAACCCCAATCGTTCCAACAAGACTAATCAAGGTAGGCGCACTGAAAAGCCTGTGTGCCAAATCTGTAAGAAGGAAGGGCACATGGCCAATCGGTGTTGGTATAGATATGACGAAGACGCAGAGTATCGTATGGAAGTCATGCAGCTTATGGGGGGCTATGGTGTTGACACCAACCGGTACGTTGATAGCGGCGCCTCGATCATGTCACAAGTGAACTAGAGAAGATGCACATCCATGACAAGTACTCGAAAAAGATCAAGTCCACACCGCAAACGGGACAGGTATGAAAATTAGCAACATTGGTCATACAACTTTATATAACCCCAGTGGTAACATTCATCTGCGAAATATCCTCCATGTTCCTAATGCTAGCAAAAACCTTGTTTCGCTTCATAAGTTAGCTCGAGATAATAATGCTTTCGTTGAATTTCATCCCGATTTCTTTTGCATCAAGGATCGTGCAACGAGGAAAATTATCCATCAAAGTAGATCTCGAGGAGGCCTCTATCCGTTAGATCTCTCGCCTTCAGGTGGCGTCACAAAGCAAGCATGGGCAGCTCACAAACCCACAGTCTCCCGATGGCATAGTAGATTCGGTCATCCCTCACATCCCATTGTCCGTAAAATTCTTAGTTTGAATAAGCTTCCTAGCATTAGTGATAACTCGTAGTCTATTTGTAATTCGTGTCGATGGCCAAGAGTCATCAGTTACCTTATTCCATGTCACATTCTATTTCTCGAGTCACCGCTTGATTTGATCTATTCTGATGTCCGGGGCCTGCACCAACTTCTTTGGGAGATATAATTATTATGTGAGCTTTATTGATGATTTCAGTAGATATACATGGATTTACCTCTTGAAACACAAATCCGATGTTTTTAGTGCCTTCCAAAATTTCCAACAACTTGTCGAAAGCAAAACACAATAAGAAGATCAAGGCTATGCAATCGGATTGGGGTGGCGGTATGAGAAATTAAATTCCTTCTTCCAAATGTTGGTATTAGCCATCGTGTCTCTTGTCCTCATGCTCATCAGCCAGAATGGAGCTGCTTTGAAAGAAAACATCGTCACATTGTTGAAGTAGGCTTGGCCTTCTAGCGCATGCATCCATGCCTCTTAAATATTGGGATCATGCCTTCCTTACTGCCACATACCTTATTAATCTTCTCCCTAGCAAAGTCATAAATTATGAGACACCAGTAGCTCGTCTTCTTCAAGAAAAACCCGACTACTCCTCCCTAAGAGTTTTTGGTTGTGCCGTTTGGCCTAATCTGCGCCCGTATAATGCAAGGAAATTAGCCTTCCGATCTGTTCGTTGTGCCTTCCTAGGCTATAGTGCGATGCACAAGGGTTTTAAATGCTTGGATATCTCAACAGGTCGCATTTACATATCTCGAGATGTCACTTTTGATGAAGAAGTTTTTCCTTTTGCCCATCTACATTCCAATGCCGGTGCTCAGCTTAAACAGGAAATTTTTCTTTTGCCGCCTCACTTGCTCAACCCTGGGGATATGAGTTGTGTTACTAATGCTGCTAGTGATGTCCCTGGTGAGTTATCTGATGATTTTCAGGAACATCTAGACGATTCAGCTCAAAACAATGAAGAAAACGGCGCTACAAGCGGTGTACACAGCGACCCAGGGTCTCTTACTGCGTCGCCCGCAACAAATCTCGGCGCCGTGTTCGAAACTGATTCACCGGACGTTGTTGGTGCTGATCTCGCGACGGATTCCCCTGCATCTGGTCCTGACGGGCCGACCCAGGAGTCCGCGCCGACGCCACCGCGCGTGACGCGTGGGGGGGACCAAACTGTGACAAAGACGGACGGACAACGGCTGCTCCACCCACTACTACGCATCAATCATCGCCGAGATCAAGTTGTTTCTATTTCACCTGTTTCACCACGTCGCACTGAGATCACAACATGGGATTGTGAAGCCCAAGAAGTTTACTGATGGAACAGTTCGGTGGATGAATTTTTGTTCAACTGGTGAACCAAAGGATTTACAAGAAGCTCTTACTGATCCTAAGTGGCAAAAGGCCATGCAAGAAGAGTACTCGGCACTAATGAGGAACAAAACATGGCACTTAGTTGAAGTAAGGAAAGGAATCAATGTGATTGATTGCAAATGGGTTTATAAAGTTAAAAGGAAGGCGATGGCACAGTTGATAGATACAAAGCTCTCGTTGGTAGCTAAAGGGTTTAGACAAAGCTATGGCATTGATTATGAGGACACTTTTAGTCCGGTTGTGAAGATTGCAACAGTTCGATTGGTACTATCTATTGCTGTCTCTAGAAATTGGTGCTTATGACAATGGATGTTCGAACGCAACGTTTTACATGGTGTTCGAAGAGGAGGTATATATGAGACAACCGCCTGGTTTTGAGGATTCAAAAGATCCACATCTGGTATGTCGTCTTGACAAGGCTATATATGGCTTGAAGCAAGCTCCGAGAGCCTGGTATGCGAGGTTAAGTGTTAAGCTTATTAGTCTCGGTTTTCAAGCTTCAAAATCAGACACTTCCTTATTTATTTATCAGAAATTGGGAGTAACTATTTATATGTTGATTTATGTGGATGACATCATTGTTACTAGTTCTTCGTAACAGGCGGTTACAGCACTTCTTTCAGATTTAAGAGAAGTTTTTGCTCTCAAGGACCTTGGTGATTTACACTACTTCCTCGGGTATAGAAGTTAAGCGTGATTCTCACGGTTTGCAGTGACTCAAGAAAAATATGCAAAGGAGATTTTGGCTCGTTGTGGAATGACAGCATGCAAGCCCTCTCCCACGCCATTGTCAACTTCTGAGAAGCTCTCGTGTTATGATGGAAAGTTGCTAGGCGCTGGAGATGCTACCCGATATAGAAGTATTGTGGGGGCATTGCAGTATCTAACTCTCACTAGACCGGATTTGGCATTTGCAGCTAATAAAGTTTGTCAATTTCTGCATGCTCCAACCAATGTTCATTGGACTGCTGTAAAGCGGATACTTAGGTATGTTAAGCACACTATTGACACAGGACTTCAGTTTGAGCGATCAAGACACATGGTGTTAAGTGCCTTTTCCGATGCAGATTGGGCAGGCAAAGTGGATGATAGAAGATCGATTGGTGGATTTGCAATCTTTATTGGACCGAATCTTATCTCCTGGAGTGCTAGGAAGCAAGCAACTGTCTCAAGATCAAGTACTGAAGCTGAGTATAAATCTATGGCAAATGCTACGGCTGAGCTCATTTGGTTAGAGTCGTTGTTAAAAGAATTGGGCGTCAGATTACAGCAGACCTCTATTTTGTGGTGTGATAATTTGGGAGCTACATATCTATCTGCAAATCCGGTGTTTCATGCGAGGGCAAAACATATTGAGATTGATTTTCATTTTGTAAGAGAACGAGTGACAAGAAAACAGCTGCAGGTAAGACTCATCTCAACAAAGGATCAAGTCGCCGACGGCTTCACGAAGGCCTTGCCAAGCGCAAAATTTAATCAGTTCAAAGGCAATCTCAACTTAAAGTATAAAGGAAGTTTCGATTGAGGGCGGCTGTTAGAATAGATGTCGGTTATCTATTGTAAACGAGTTGTACTCGTGTTCAGGATAGAAGTCACGGTTGGTTAAAATTGGAAATAGACTTGGTTAGAGATATATTCTAGAAATAGGGAGTTTGTAACTGAATCCAAGTCTATCGCTAGGAACGTAAAACGCACGGCAATCCCCTGCGTAGTCCTGGCGCCATGTACCTGTGCTTTGCTATATATAACAGGCAACCGTGGTGAGCCAAGATAGGTAGCCACGTTCTCATCCAGTTTTACACCACAATCATCCGCACGCCTTTGATTTGGACAGGCTTCACCTTGACCACGAATCTGTCGCCGCTCTGACGATAATGAATGATAAACAATATAAGTTCTGTGAGATTTTCCTTGCCTTTGATTTGCCATGCATGTGTTCACACAGCTAGCAGAGAAAGATATGTACCCTCAAAGGCGCAAAATACTTGAGGTTGAGCTCAGAAAGAGCCATGGCGTTGCCCGTGGATGTCCAGTAGTCCACGCTGATGCCCAGCTTCTCAAGCACCACGTCACGACCTGACCACGTACCGTGCCACGCCTCAGTCAGATAATTGATCGATATTCGTAGATATATATGCATGTGCCATGCGTCATGGTCTCATGGAGATAGCTATGGTCTTTGGAGGTCGAATAAACGATGATGGCTCACCGCTATGGAGGTAGCTGGCGTAGATGGCGTTGTTGACGACGCCGTACTCGTCAAGCTCGTCGTCGCGCACCTTCATCTCGATCTCGAAAAACTTGTCCTTCCTGTGTGTGTTCTCGTGTGTACCACAGAAGATTATTCAGTTATAAGGGAAGGGACAGGGACATGCATGCATAGAAGCTAGATTCTCGTGTGTACCATCGAAGCTAGCGAACCTGACGGTGACGGTGGTAAGCTGCTGCCTCGGTGCGGTGTGGCTAGGGCGAAAGTGTTGATCGAGCAGCTCGCGGCTGGTGGTCTCGCCGGTCTCGGGGGCGGCGACGACGCCAGCGGCACCCCGGAGCCGGCAGTACTTGGGCCGCGCAGCCGCCGTGACCCTGCCGAGACGCGCCCGGCCGGAGCTGAAGCTCACCATCCCGTGGGCGGCGCGCAGCCGAGGGGAGGGCCCGGTGGCCTGATGATGAACGAGGCCGGCCATCTGCTGCTGCATTAGTTGTGCGATTGCGCGAGGCCGAGAGCGAGTGGCGTGGCACGCGTTCTTGTCTGATGATCGAGCTCTGCTGGATGCCTTGGTGTGCAGTGTTGGATAGATAGATATATCGCAGTGATCGTTGATGCCAAAGCGTGGGCGTGGCGTCCTATATATATGGAGCATCAACACGACGACATGGCCAGAAATTTGCCGGCTGTTCAACTGTCCTAGCTCGTCGCGGGGGCCGGGGAAAATAATGTCCAATCCTGTGTGTGGGCGAGCCACTGGGCTTTGCCATTTCTCATGCTCTAACTAATCCAACAATGGCACGCAGCAGCAAGTTTGGGCTACGTACGTGCTGACTACCGTTGCACATGACCATTGGATTGTACCGCGCGCCGAGTCGGGTTTTCGACTGTTCAAGTACCTTGAGCTTGAGAACCGGCCAAGGCGTGTGTGAATCGTGGGTCAAGCTGGAGGCGCGCGCGCGTCGCTTGACCTGCCCATGCCATCGGTAGGTGGCGCCGTCGTTGCAATGGCTTTCCTGAGAGTGTGGATGGCGGGTGGGGTCAGCTCGAAGTGGGTCCACAGAGTCATGGAGTGTTAAGGGATTAGCATTGCGTGCAGAAACCTGTGAATCTATGATGATCAGTTAGGAATACTAATGATGAATGACAGCGGCCGGATAAACTAAAGTCAGTCGTTGTCCCACGGTGTTGAATTTTCAATTTTGTTGCGGCGACGCCACACAAACCGGATACGAGTTCGTGCGTCCTTGAAAAGTTGCTGGAACACACAACAGTGAACACACACGCACTGCACCGGCGACCACGAAAATTTCACGCCTGTCCGCCCTGTCAACTGTCACTACGCTGGATTCACGTACACATCACTATCGACCTCATCGCTGTCGAATTTGTGAAAACCGACAGTGATATACCTTCACTGTCGGTTATAAGCTTGAAAATAAAAAAATGTTTAGCGTTGGGCTAAAACCGGCAGTGAAGAACCACGTCACTGCCGGTTTTTGGCTTGACCCGATAGTGTTTTGGCAGGCACTCATCACAGCCGGTTTAAGCCAAGAGCCGATAGTGATTGGACAATATCACTGTCGGTTCAAGCCAAGAACCGACGGTGATAAGCCTACAACACAAAAAGGCTGCAGCCGTCCTCTCCTTCCTCCTCTCTTCCATCCCAAGAACAGAGGCGCGTTTAGACCCTTCCCTCCATTGTTGCAGCTGCTCTTCACCATGAAGCTAGTGCTTGGATTTTGAAGAATGGCTTTATCTTTTTGCTTTAAGGTTAGCAACAAACATCCACTCCTTTGATTTTGTTGCTTAATTAGCTTCGTTTTGATGGCTACATTGCTTGATTCTTATTTTAGTTCTTTCTCCATTCTAGAGAGCACTTTTCCAATTGGACATTTATGCAAGACTCAAATTATGGTGAATCTATCATCCAAAAGGTCGGTGTCTATAAACACATTTAAATTCCTAGCTAATTATTCTATGGTGGTCAAGATCATCATTGTTAGTATGTGATGCTATAATTAGTTCTTAGAAGTAGAGTAGAATAGTTGTTCTTCAATATTGTGCAATAATTGATTTTTACTACGATTTTCAATTTACAGGGCCGAAGCTACCAATTTCAATTTTTCAATAATTAGTGTACAATAATATTTTCCAAAAATGGTACTTTCGAGGTACAATTGTTGTTCATGAAGCTCGATTTCTTATTAATTCTTTGTAATTACTGTCTCAGTATTTTTTTGTGCAGAGATGGATCGAGAGTGGATGCATATGTCCCGAACGGACAAGCGGTACATGCATGGCGTCAACCAGTTTATCACTGATGCCAAAGCTCATGCTGGGAATGGGAACCATGTCTTCTGCCCATGCAGAGACTGCAAGAATTATAGGAACTTTCATCAAATTGAGTTTATACGATCGCACTTGATTACCAGGGGTTCATGCCAAACTATACGATATGGACTATGCATGACGAGGTTGGTGTGAATCTTCTACAGGAAAACGATAATGATGTGGGCATGTCTAACGTAGCCATCCACGATGCTGACGAGGAATCCGGTGTCAACACGGAACCTATGGCCACAGTTAATAATGTGTTTAGAAACACGCTAACTGACGACACCGAGGATAACGATGGCATTTCTCAGCTGCTACGTAATGTAGAGACCGGATGTCTTAGTGAAAGACAGCTGAGAAAGCTAGAGAAAATGAGACAAGATGGCAAAACACCATTGTATAGGAATTGTTCAATAAGCAAACCGAAAGCCAAGCATCATGCTATTAGAGTTCAAATCAACAAATGGATTGAGCGATAAAGGCTTCGATCAGTTGTTAGGTATAATAAGGAAAATGCTCCTAGAAAAAAATGAGATGCCAGAAAAGACATACTTGGCCAAGCAAATGATCTGCCCTATCGGCCTCGAGGTTGAAAAAAATCCACGCATGTTCCAATGATTGCATATTGTACCGTAGAGAAAAATACAAAGACTTGGATAAGTGCCCCAAGTGTGAAGCTCCACGGTACAAGGAAGGGCCACGATGAGGGTACCAAGACCAGAGGTCCCGTAAAGGTCGTTTGGTATTTTCCTATAGCTCCCAGATGCATAGGTTGTTTGCATGTGCAAAAGTCAGCCAAGTCATGTCTTTGGCATGGCGAAGAGCGTAAGAAAGATACAATGATGAGACACCCGCACCGATGGGCATGGTGGAGGATCACAATACTATGTTCTATAAGGACATCAATGGAGAGGTAAGGCACATTTGGTTTGCTTTGAGCACGAGATAGGATGAATCCTTTCGACCAAAGTTAGAAGCAATCATAGCACCGCCGCGGTGACACTCTGTATATACAACCTTCCACCTTAGGTTCAGTATGAAGCGATCAGACATCCAGATGCCACCTCGATCCAAGGCCAAGACAACTGAGAATGACATCGATATGTTTCTAAAACCAAAGTGATCGATGAACTAGTGGAGATATTTGAAAAGGGTGTGCGGATATTTGGGACGAGTACAAAAAGAACATGTCACGATCAAAGGAGTACTTATCGCTATAATCACCGACCTGCCAGTCGAGGTTCGTTGTTCAAGAGAAGACAAAAGGCTATCTTTGGATGTGTCGAGTGCTTAGACGACACCCATACGGTAAATCTACCAAATAACTCAAAGATAATTTATATGGGACACCGTAGGTTCCTACCTAAGGATCACCCTTACCGCAGAGATCGTAAAAAGATTTCAACGGTACTATTGAGAAATGCTTAGCTCCAAAATATCGAGACGGGCCTGCGATACTTTGAGAACTCAATAAACTGGAGGTTGTCCTTGGGAAGGAGGACAATGCAGTAGCAGCGCCTGATGGGAGCGTTTGGAAGAAAAAATCGGTTTTCTGGAAACTACCTTACTGGCCATTTCTGAGTGTACGCCACTGTCTTGATCCCATGCACATCACTAAAACACATGTGCGCTAACACTCTTAACACCTTGATGGACACCGGGGGGACATCGAAGGATTCACTAGCTACACGCTTGGACATGCAACACTTGGGAATCAGAAAGGAGCTGCATCCCGTGGAGTTAGAGAATGGCCAGTTCGAACTTCCGGTTGCGTTATGGACATTGAAGAAGGAAGAAAAGCGTACGCTTATTTTTTTCTTCAATGAACTCAAAGTCCCGACGGGCTACCCGAAGAGGCTAGTGAACATGAGAAAACTCAAGTTCAACTATGGCCCTATGAAGGCCCATGACTGTCATGTCATTATGACTCAGCTGCTCCCTGTTGCCCTGCGTGGTATCCTCCCCCCAAAGGTCCGCGCCCCAATCATAAAGCTTTGCTCGTTCTTCAACGCGATCTCAAAAAAGGTCATTGATGTGTCCACACTAGAGCAGCTGCAGCGGGACATAGCCGAAACTCTCATTAGGCTTGAGATGCATTTCCCACCGACTTACTTTGATATCTCATTGCATCTGCTCATTCATCTTGTTGACCAAATTAGAGCCCTTGGCCCAATGTACCTGCATCAGATGTTCCCTTTTGAAAGATTGATGAAAGTTTTCAGGAGGTATGTTAGGAACAGATTCAAGCCAGAAGAGGGCATGGTTGAAGGATGGTCATTGAGTTCTGCACATATTATCTAGACATCAAAAGGGTCGGAGTTCCAGAATCTCATCACGAGGGAAGACTACGTGGCAAAGGAACGATCGGGGAGAAATTTGTTACAGTAGACGACCCTATTTCTTTTAGATAGGCACAGTTCGCTGTTCTCCAGCAAGCCGAGGGTGTGATGCCATACATTGACGTGCACAGGCAATCGCTGCAAACTCTGTATCCGAGCAGGTCACAGGCTTGGCAGGATAAAAAACATAAGAAGGAATTTGTTAGCTGATTACGACGTCGCTTGCTTGGAATAAAGTTGGGTAATCAATTGGATGCATTAGCCAAGGAACCTTCGAGTGCATATCTTAAGTACCAAGGGTATAAGATCAATCGATTCACATTTTACACAAAAAAACAAGATGGAAAGAGCATATCAAAATTGTGGTGTTCGTTTTGATGCTCACGACAAAAACGGCAACGTGCAGGCGACATACTATGGTTTCATAGTGGAGATATGGGAGCTAGCCTACGGTCCATTGAAGGCAACTCTTTTTCATTTGCCAAATGGAATTCGGAAAGAAATCAACACCGACAACAAAGAGTTCACTACCGTTGATCTCACTAAGACCGCATACAGAGACGACCCCTTCGTCCATGCAAGAGATGCTATGCAAGTCTTCTATGCAAGGGACAACAAGACAAAAGGAAGGCTAAAAGTAATCCTAGAAGGGAAAAGGAAGATTGTCGGTGTCGATGGAGTGACGGACGAAGAAGACTACAGGGGCTATGAAGAAATGCCTCCATTCGGGGTGACGTACCCTACCTATCCTTCAAGAGGGTGATGAACCCTTATTATGTATTTAATTGATCACAATGAGGCC